CCGGAAGCGATGCAGGACACGGAAGGTGTGAAGATAACTGATGTATGGGAGGGAATCAGAAGTGTGACTGACCTTTGTCACTGTCCAAGTGCTGACTTTAGTACTGGCGACGATGCTCTCGGTGAATGATGAAGCCCTCCGTCGCTTCCTCACCGTCTCCTCTCCATCTTCTGCCATGCAACAGTTACAGAACCACTACAGCGAGTCTGCAGCAACACTGTATTACAGAGCTGTAGCAGAGTGTACTATACAGACATAGAACACTGTATGACACGGACATTACATGGACAGACATATTTCTACTACACAGATGTAGAACACTGTACTACACAGACAGTACACGGACAGACAGAATAGTGAAGTATACTACGCAGATATAGCAGATTGTACTACACATACATAGAACACTGCTGAAAAATAACTAGAAAAGATCGACTGTCGCAAATATGCGCTAATGTCCAGCAGCTGCTACTGCTATATCCTACTCATTTTACGTACAGCACTCTACGAAAATAACTAGAAAAAAAAATCGACTGTAGCACACTAACAGCAACCAACTATGCAAAGCACAGTGGACACGGTGACTATATGCCTGTTCTACAATCAGTACCTTTAACCTGTATGGACATGCCACTGGGTAGCACGACGACGTTCGACGTGGGACTAGCCGACCTCGGCGATGTCGAACCGATCGGCGATGGCGACGACGTTGGCACATTATTATTCATCGCCATCTGTGACATGCCGGCTGTAAGGTGTAAGGATGAAAGTCGGCGACGCAGGATGAAGGATGGACGTCGAGCATTCGCGCACATAACCATTACCGTCAGGTAAATACGTGAGTGCGTAGCTCACCCGATGATTCCGTAATTTCACACTTTGTATTACATTATATTATGAGAGTCACAATATAAACTATATAACGCTACATAGACTATATAGACTTAATATACTAGCCTATATCATGACACTCCTGATTATATTAGATTAACAATTTGGGATGTAAACTGGTCTGATGTCCTACCCCAATGAATATAGCCATCTGCATTTCTCCTAGCGATAACGTTCAGATGCAAATGAAAGACAATAACCGCAACCAACATAAATATAATGGTAAATAGAGTAATATAATAGTGTATATAAGTAATATAATATAATATAATAGTAAATATGATATAAAACATATAATAACACATTATTATATGTTGACGTGGCTAAACTCCTCGTGCCTGATCACAAGTCGGCTCCACTACCTTCAGGTTTCCCGCTGCTCTGGTGTCGCTGCGAGAGCAGTGCATTATGGGCCGCGGCGACGTTGGCGGCGGAGTTTGCGATGCTGGTGAAGGCGGTCTGCGGCACGAGGCGTGGCAGAATGGGCACGAGCCGCCGACCCTCCACTGACCACTCGGACGACGTGCTTGGACCCGACGTGCTGTGGACACACCGACCACTGTAGTGTTGTGACATTTTTAATTTTTAATTTAATTTTAATTTAATTTTCTCAGCACGAGGTACACCCGCATCGTGCCAGCGTCGCTTTTTCAGTGTTCTTAATTGAGTGTACTTACTTGAGAATTAGGACACTTAATTCTTCGTTAATTGAGTGTGCGACACACACACAGTTTTGTAAACTTTTTTTCAGTGTATCGTATCAGTATTGTAATAGCATGTATGATAGGCACGTTTTTTCCCATAGTCATTGCATCACTGTAGTTTTTTTTGCTGAGTACACTGCATAGATTTTAGTGATGGACATGTAATCTAAGATATATTATTTTCTGTTTGTGTAATTGAGGGGTTAGTACTATGGAATTTAGGTAGTGCTGCGTGACTTCAGAATCCCCATGATATTTCAGTTGGTGTCTTGCTTGAAATTGCATTGACATTACCAAGAAGCGTAGCACAACAGAACAAGAAATAAGCACATGTATTAATGATGCGTGGATTTAACATTTAATGTTGAATTCCCTGAAAATAGATAGTTTTATGGTTGATACTAGAAGTTGCTTATTATACCTGCACAATTGATTATTGATTATTGTTAATCGTGTTGACACTTGTTACTTACCAGTCAGCAATGGTAGCAAGTCTCTCATCATTCACAGCTCTTCTAACTTCTGCTCTGTGCCTCTCTGATGATATACTAGCAATGCAGAACATTAAAGTAACTATAGTATTGCTCAGCAATTCAAACTATAGTATTGCTCAGCAATTTAAACTATAGTATTGCTCAGCAATTTAAACTATAGTATTGCTCAGCAATTTAAACTATAGTATTGCTCAGCAATTACACACAAACTGTTAACAGACGAGAATAATGTAATGGTGCAAGGACTGTTAGAGGCTTCACTTCAAATAATAACACCAAATTAGACCGTGTATAATGTGTATCAATTCTTCACCAACAAAATCTATGAAAATTTCACTGGAAAAAGTACATGTCCCTTGTATCCGACATAACAGAGAGTAAGCAACTTTTTTTTCATAATTTGTGACTACCTTCTTCTGGGTAATTAGCTGAGATTAAAATGTATTTCATGAGCCTGCACATAATTATCCCCCTTTCGGTATTACCTCAAAACACGACATAGTTCTTCCAGAAGGTGTTTTTTCTCCTTTGATAGATCGCCTTGAGCACGTAACGCAGACACAAATGATGAGTAAGCCTCCAATTCTGCACAAGAATTAAAAAGAATTCACCGAGGTAAAACATTACCTATTAATTACTGGTACCACTCATACTAAAAAAACACAATACAATACTACTTCATGCACTGAATACAATATACCACATGAACTTTGGAATACAAGATTATTTGTTAAATTGTATGCCTACCCAATCTTCTAAGTACTCTCTTGCATTCATCTCTTGACATGTCTAGAAGTGTTGGCCACATTCTGTCTACTTGCTTCGTCATCAACCTTAAAATTGTAGCATCAATTCATATTCTCCTGATATTATTATACCATATTGTTACCATGTATCAGACGCTTACATATACTAATAATATAGTGAAGATGGCTTCACTAATAAACTTCTACACTGTGCACAAACTCACAGAAAGAACTCTATCTTTCTCCGAGTTTGCGGACAGTAATGTACGTGCAGCAAAATTGTGTTGCAGAGGAGAGCCTGAACTGCATTTACGAGACACTGTTATCGCGATTATTACGCTAATAATACGCGAAAAAGAATAAATAACCATTAAGACCCTGCTAGTAACTACATTTCGTTTTTATTGACTATCATTTTATTATTGAAACGTTTCAAGTAACTGTGAGCAAGCTAGCTCTAGTAATGCTCATAGGGTCTATGTCCCCCAGGGTACTGCCGGAACATACCCTGGGAACGGTCCGGTATACCGTAACGTACCCTGGGAACGGTCCGGTATACCGTAACGTACCCTGGTAACTATTTGATATGGTTAGGGTTAGGGTTAGGGTTAGGGAGTAGGCGTATGCGACTCCCTAGACTCGTTAGTGGAGTAGGCGAGGTACGGTCTGGCATATTAGATGGTACCAGGGTACGTTCCGGCAGTACCCTGAGGGACATAGATCCTCTCAGCTCTAGTAATATAGCCCTTGTTCGCCACAGGCTTGTGGCAAACAAGGGCTATAGGACTAGAGTTATGAGCAAGCTAGCTGGTAAAAGTGTCCCTAAAGGGAGTAACGCTCCATCTCAGTAAATCTAATTCTAAAATCCCTTTCCATCCCAGTATTATCACTGCCCTATGTAACATAATCAACTAATTCATGTGTTTTTGCTAATGTTTACTTGCAATTATAATTGTCCCTCTAGGCTCTAGTACTAGTAGTAGTAGTAGTACACCCTTTGACTGAGACTTTCCTGAGAATGCATCTCCACTTATAATGGAAGTTAATAATAAACGTGATTTACTTTACAGATTTTCGGTTACGAACGTTTTTCTTAGAACGGATTCCTTGCGACGTGCGTTGCGTAACTCGTGGTATAACAGACACTGACAGAGTCAGTAATACTGCTAGAGCTAGACCAAATAATTCTGTCCCAAATAACCTTTTTTTATATTTTGGTGAGGGTTATTGGGACAGAACGGGGTTCATTGAAATTTCGTGAGATCGCATGCAAAATGCATGCGCTGCGAATGCGGCCTGTACGCTGCTATTGGCGGGGGAAAAAACCTACCGTTCCCTTCTACATGGCTTTACCTTGTAGCTACTGATATGTGTATACATTCACTTCAATCGTTATTCCCTTCTTAAAAGATCGTTTTTCAGAAACCCCGCTTCATTTAACTTTAGTAAATTACGTTCGCCATTTACAAACAATCAGACCAATCAGAGCGAGTCTATCAGCCCTCCTGCAGCGCCACAGATACAAGCGAGAACCAGGGGCTATTGTAAGCCTCGCTCTGATTGGTCTGATTGTTTGTAAATGGCGAACGTAATTTACTAAAGTTAAATGAAGCGGGGTTTCTGAAAAACGATCTTTTAAGAAGGGAATAACGATTGAAGTGAATGTATACACATATCAGTAGCAAGGTAAAGCCATGTAGAAGGGAACGGTAGGTTTTTTTTCGCGCCAATAGCGGCGTACGGGCCGCATTCGCAGCGCATGCATTTTGCATGCGATCTCACGAAATTTCAATGAACCCCGTTCTGTCCCAATAACCATCACAAAAATATAAAAAAGGTTATATGGGACAGAATTATTCGGTCTATAATATTAATACTGCCAGCTAGTCGAGTAATACAAATGGGTCATGTCTTATAGACTAGCTCCAATAATACTAGCTCTAGTACTATATCCCGCTTACATTGACTGCCGTTGGCCAGGGGCAGTCAATGTAAGCGGGCTATAGTACTACTACTAGAGCTACAATAATACTGGACTAGCTAGGCACCCACACTCTGGAATACGACCTTTGCTGGCATTTCCAATGGAAAACGAATGACAATTGTGACGACCACAGAAAAGTTTGAATGTTAGCTTTTGATTATAGGTTTAGTAGCAGTTTGACTTACCAATGAGAACGTGTAGGGCTTTCATCTAGTGAACATTTATTCGTATTTAGACGAATTATGTCTATGCTTCTGTACTGATCACTGATGTATACAGATATACAAAGTATGACGGCACTGCCCTCTATCGGATGAGAACATAGGAAACTCCACCTTTGGATCAGACGAACTTATTTGACGATTTCTATATTTCGATTAAAATGTAACTTATATAAAAAATGGAATAGGTTGGTATACACTATTTAATTGATATTGATTATTGTTTGACTCTTACGCCTGTGTTGTTTGTCCGCGTGTGTTAAAAAGGAAACAAGTAAACAGTATGAAAACATATTTTCATATAAAAGACTGAATGTAATATCAACTGCATAACCAATAAGCACTGATTTACAGCATATGATTTCCGAAGATACATTTTTGAGCCAGCTTCCTGAGTTACGTTCTGTCTTTAACCAAGGTTGACTGTTCGACCACATCAATTTTTAATAGATTTCCACAACTGGTGTATCTTCCACTTCACGATAACCTGCCTATTATACAGAATCTCGATGTGTAATTGAAATTACAATGCACATGTCATTACGAAATGCCCAGCGTTATCAGATGACAGACGATATTACCATTACAACGTACAATGCACCACATTTCCTAAACACCACGTCTAGATGACTTCTGAGACAATGTACGATGTTACTATCAACAATATTCACCTTCAACACCTCAACATGAGGTACCACTCATAACACAAACAGATCAAAAGAATTCTTCCACAGGTTTCGGATAAATAACGCAAGTAAATGCAATGTGTAAGTTCAATTTGTTATTTTTAGGTCTACCCTGCCACGGATCATTCCCTGCAGTCGTAATTGGGCAATAGCATATATTGTGGCTGTACCTGGTACACTTACTGTTAGAGAGGCAGGCACCAAGAATACAAAATACATAGGCAATTCCTAAGTAGACATTAAAAAGGATTAGGATACACCCAAGAAGATCCACACACAAAACATACATTCCCAAACAAGCTGCATGGTAGTTTACCAAGCTATAGGCCATAGGTTTGTGCTACCAAGTGTTTGACCTCAAGATATCAATACATCTTTCAAGCATGAACATAATGTACCAAACCGTATACACTACATATGTTTATGTACTAAGAGTAGAATGAAGTTGTCACTACTGTGTCAACAACTGTGTTATAAAAAACTTCTTCAAGCATTCCCCTTCAAAAACACACAAAACTCACTGCCATATTATTATTACTGTCTGAAAACTCTTTTCACTTTACTTCTAGAAAACCCAGTTAAACATTACTGATAATTGATCCATTAATCATGCTCTTCTGATGATAGTATTCAGGAATTTAATCAAAGCATGGATTTCACAGGACCACTAAGCACAATCTGTGCACTTGCTGTTAACAAATTATTATACGATTACAGCCAACCTCATTGAAAAGGAATAAATCTCAGATAAATAAGTGCAAACCTGATGGTTATTGTAATGTAAACTCCATTGCAAACTTAATTATCACTGGGACTGGAGTTACTCATTATACAGTGTATTTCTGGCAGATATCACAATACACATGATTTTAAACCTTGCATTTAACCTAGCTCAGCTCCACATGCCAAATTCTTAACGAGATTGTACCAATGCAGATTGGATGACACTTTGTTTCATACGCACAACTACATAGCATCAAATGCTTGCTGATGCAATTCTCAGCTCTCATGATGCCCCTGGTCAACTGCCCTATTCATTAGAGCAAGATGGCGGTGCACATCCTTTATATTGTTACTAGGTCGGTCGGGCTAACCCAAACAAATGTACGTGGTGAGCGCCAAAATGTGTACCGAGCGACACGTGGTTGCTACGCAGTTTTTAGAATATCCTATCGCATTGCTGATTGGCTAGAGCTGTCGGTCAAACAGGCCAGAAGGGCTGACCAATCACTGCCCATTGTTGTCATCTAATGGTTCCAGCTCCCAAGTTCCCAACTCTCCGGACAATCCATGCCGATCACAACTCCCGGCTCACAAGACGGCCCCACGCCTGATCATAACTCCCAGCTCTGCAGACTGCCCCACGCCCGATTATAACTTTCAACTCTCTAGACTGCCCCACGCCCGATTATAACTTTCAACTCTCTAGACTGCCTCACGCCTGATTATAACTTTCAACTCTCCAGACTCCTCCATGCCCGATCATACCACCGAACTCTCTAGACTGTCCACGTTCAATTACAACTCCCATGTCTCTAGACTGCCCCCATGCGCCCGATTACAACTCGTCCTTGTCTAGCGGCTCCAGCTCGACGTCGCTCAGGTCGTACTCATCCTCCGCCGGCATCTCTCCGTCCTTGCCGTCCCACGGTGTCGTCGCGGCAACGCGAGGCAGCTCGGCTCCCCGCAGCGGCGCGGTCGAGCCTCGGCCGACCGACAGCTCGCGCAGGAACTCGTGGATGCCCGCGTCGCTGAACGCGCCGCGCAGCAGCGCAAACTTCATCTTGCGCGCGTTCAGCGCCGCCATCGCCGGGTAGCCAAATCCGCCGATCCCCAGAGCTTCCTCGAGGTCGGGCTGCGCGCCAGCCTCCGCCCACACCCAGCCCCACAGCTGCTTCTTGTATCGCGCGCCGAGCTCACGAAGAACCTTGAGGTAGCCGTTCCGGCAGTCTGACTGGCAGTCCAAGATGTGCGGGAGGATCGAGACGATGCAGAGCGGATTCTTCTGGCAGGCCGTCTCGAGGGTCGTCTTCTCCGTCACCTGTGGGTTGGAGAAAAATGTCTTATTAGCACGCTTTTGTTTTACGGCCGTGACAATTATCGTCGAAATCGGAGGTCGTGACCCCCCGTCAGCGTGTGTACGAGAATGCATGATTATGACAGTTATTAAAAGATTCTAGTGTGGATTGATCCATCACCTGTAGGTATGAGAAGAAACATTTCTACGCAGGGTTTCCCTTATATGATTACAGAATTTACCATTCGATACCAGTACAATCAATGGACGTTGATTCACGTGAAATAAATTTTTAATTAGAAGCAGAGCTTCGTTAATACTTATTTCCATCTTTGATACAGTCTCTTGGACTTTGAAAACTAATATTCATGAGGTTATGAGGTTAATATTAAGGGTGCAAGGATAGACACCTGTATAATCTCCGGTGGTTCAATCTTAGCCGACAGTTTGTCGAGAGCCCAGCTGACAATGTCTGATGACGTTCGCCCGCCATCATACTCCTGTGCGTCGCCGTCCTTCTTGCCCTGATTGAACAGCTTGATCGTGGGGAAACCCTTGACGCCGTAGCGGCTAGAGTAGACGGTGTCCGCAGTGGCATCGACCGCTCCGAGCTTCACTTTGCCCTTCAGTTCGTGGGCGGCCGTCGCCCAGTGCGGCGCGAGGCTCTTGCAGTGACCGCACCACGGTGCGTGGAACGCGACGAGCCACATGTCGTCGCTGTCCAGCACGAGCTGCTCGAAGTTAGAATCGGTCAGCGCCACGACTTCCTCCGCAGCGAAACCATCCCCGCCGCCACCTCCAGACCTGCTTCCGCCGCTGCTTCTGCTGCCGCCGCCGCCGCTGAGCCTAACGTTTACTAATTTCTTAACTTGGTTGAGAGCTTCGGCGACGATTGCCGAAGCTGTTCTCGCACTCTCGTAGTCGACGGGCTTCTTCTTGTCTGCGCCGAAGACTTTGATGGACGGGAAACCTCGGATGCCGTAGGGTTGCCCGACCGATCCGTGATCGTCCATGTTGACAGCGCCAACCTTAACGACGCCCTTCAATGCTGCAGCTGCTTTAGACCATTCTGGTGCCAGACTTTTGCAGTGGCCACACCATGGGGCATAGAACTCAACCAACCAGAGATCATCGCTGTCCAAGACTTTGCCCTGGAAGTTGCCGGCCGTCAATTCAACGACATCGGAATTTCTGTCATACAGACCATTAACTGTGGCGACGTGACCCAGCACTACTGCAAGGAAAACTCCGTGTATGAGCTCCATCGTTTCAGAAAGACGGAACACGGTTCTTGTTACCTGTCAACAAGGGAAACACGTCGACAGTACCTAAATACAATAACTAGACAGAAGGAAACGGTGTGCGTAAAACGTGGGCCCCACTGATTCGTCAACATAATCTGACCTCGTACTGCCATCTAGTGACGTAAATATGTAACGTTAGCGTTATAATTAAAATAGTTTATGATTGGCCAACCCGAGCACGTAGCAGATGCCAAGTGCAAGTAGATGGCAGCACCGTCCAATCACGTTGCGAGATCGGTGTTGGAAAATCTTAGTGTTTGTCTAGCCTTACAGACTTAAGCAACACTTTCTGCAATGTCAACCAAATTGTAAGTTATATCTTGATGGAGCTATAGTATAAGCTTTGCTGAATCGAAATGTTGTATTCGTTTCGGGTATATTATTATCTCCTTATGAAGACATTCATGAGACGGTGCCGGTCCGACCCTTCTTAAAAGAAGGCTGACCCCAAACTCCACGACAGATGGCGCTCTCGCTCATGGGCGCAATCTACGTATCCTGAGTGTGCGAAGGGGGCACTGCATGCAGTTTGGGTT